ATAATAGCTCAGTAGTTAAAAGGTTTTCTTTAACATACACATAACCAAATCGGATACCCAGTGCCAAGAAAAAGAAATCCACGGAGAAAATGATGTTAAAATTATTTATAGTAAAAGTAGAAACAAGTAAAAAGTTTTAAACTTAACTAAACGACTACATTTTTTCATAAAAAAAAACAAAAAAAAAAAACGGGTTCAGGCCAAAGGGAAAGTTTTTTTATGCATTCCCGAGAACACTCTGGGAGGCTGGCGTGGAAAATCGGTGATTCTCCTTAACTCCAAAGTCTGCGTCCTGTGCTGGGACGGCTACCCAAAAGGAACTGCCGTCACACCACGACCTGCAGGCAGCTGACTACCGTGGCTAGGCAACGGTCCGCGACTTCTCGGGCGCTAGCCCCGCCTCCCTGGGCACTTCCGCCACCGCGCCGCTCAAACCTCCTCCTGTCATTGGCTCGCGCCTCGCCGAGGATGGGCGGGGGGAAATGCGACAGACAGTGCGGTCACTTCCGGCCCGGGAGCGCGCGGGTTGATTCGTCCTTCCTCAGCCGCTGGCGCTCGCAGCTCGGAAATGGCGGGTAAGTTCCCGGGAAAAGTTTAGCGAGGGGAGGAGGCGGGCGGATCTGGGCAAGAATGCTGAGGCCGCGGTGACAGTGGCCGCCGGGAACTTTCGGACTCTGGTCAGGGTTTCAGAAGGCCTGGCCGGATCGGGAGGCGCGGAGCTCGGAGGCTGGCTTCGAGTGGGCCGCGCTCGGCGCTCCCGCTCTCAGTGCTCGCGCTTCGCGCCTCCCGCGGGCCGACGGGCCCAGCCGAGGGACAGTGTGGCCGGGACGGAGCGCGCGGACTCGGCCCGAGAAGCGCAGCCTGCCTCGGGCCTGCTTCTCTCCCATTCCTTTTCGCCCACTGCTGCCTTGGCTGGGTTGGTTGGGTGCGTTCCCGCCAGCTGATTTTCATACTCGAGACCTCCCCCTCCCTCCCGGGCCCTGCCCACCTCGCCCGCCCTCTGCCCCCCTCCCCCCATCAACTTCTGTGGGAGCACGTCGCTGCCTCACCTTGCACAAGGGCTCGCTGTGGATATTCACTGCGTTTTCCTGAATCTCTTTCATTTTAGTATTCCTAAGATCATATTTGGGTGTTGTTTTAGAAAGACTTCTGTACTCCAAAGCTTCTCTTTTACAGGACTACTGCCCACTAATATTAATCTATTTGCCCTACTTTGTTCTCTCGAGTCTGTTCGCCTTCAACATTTAAGAACGTATAAATTGCTATTATTTTGAACTTGTATTGAGGCTGTCTTTGTATATTTTCTATTTTACAGTTACCTATCTTTTGAAGTGATGGAGTTTCTTTTTATCTCCCCCCCAATACCTTCACATTAGTATCACTGCATATTAAACACCCCATTTTTATGCAGAGGCTGGATATAATGCAAAGCTTGCATGTTCGGGGAAGGATTGTTCTACCAGCTAGAGGCTGTAGTGTAGGATATTGGAATACACTAGTGCTGCAAAAGAGATACCTTGTAAGAATTACATAAACATCTCAGCCCCACCACTTAACTAGTTTGGTGCCCTTCAGTTAAGCACCTTTCTATGCCTCATTTACTGAATGATAAACGGGATTGAGCTATCACCTATTTATAGAATTTGGGAGCATAACTAAACTAATATGTATTTTTACACATTAAATTGTGTTGCCTAGATTACATATAAATTCCTTGAAGTAGGTTCTGTAATCTGCTGTTGAGACAGGTTCTCAATAGGCAGCCCAGGGTGGCCTGCAACTCAGTCTTCTGCCTCAGACTCCTGAGTATGGGATTATAGGCTTGTCTCAAAGTGAGTTTTGTTTTCTTTCTGTTTTATAATGAGGTATTCATGCTCTATACATTTATTGAGGGCTATCTGATCAATGATCTGTTACATTAAGTCATATCCTTATCTCACTTCTAATAAACACCCTAAAGGTATTTAAATCACTTTCAACCAAACATTTCATAATCTCTCTCCTTTTAGGATTTGGTGCAATGGAGAAATTTTTGGTAGAATATAAGAGTGCAGTGGAAAAGAAGCTGGCCGAGTACAAATGTAACACCAACACAGCAATCGAACTAAAATTAGGTAAGTGTGTCATTTCAGAGTGATATTATGTATGTATTAGGTATGTATATAACATAATCTTTTAAAAACAAGTAAAATTTTATGTAGGAATCATTATATAATGGCATACTTTTGCATTTATTGAATATTCAGATTTTATGCAGTCTTGATTTATACCATGAACTGGATAGATGAGAGGTGGCAAGTTAAATCTATGGGAAAGATACTATGGCAGAAGTCACAGTTGCGTGTGCTCTCAGCTTCTTAAAAATATTTACTTTTTTTGCTTATGAAAATGATAAACAGTAATAGGTATTGGTGAGGCTATGGAGAAAAACACTCATGTATTGCTGGTAGGAATAGAAATGATACAATTTAAAAAACAGTTTGGTAGTTTCTTAAGAAACAAGCAAATTATGAACCAGCAGTTTTACTAAATACCTGTTCAAGACATGAAAATGCATGTGTAAGAATATGCATATTCATAGGAGCATTATTCACAATAGCTAAAATAGGGAAACAACTCAGATGAAACATCGATTGGTCGTAAGTGGATATAGTATAGCGGAATATGATTTAACAAGAAAAAGGAATGAAATTCTGTAGTTGTCATAATGGGGAAAAACCTCAAAAACATTATACTGTGTAAACGAAGACAGACAAAAACACCATATTGGATGATTCCTTTTGTATGAAATGTTCAGAAAAGACAAATCCATACAGACAGAAAATAGACGTTACCTAAGGCTGAAAGTAGAAAAGAAAGTAGGCATGATGGGCTTTTGTGCATGATAGAAATGTTTCAAAATTAATTTGTGGCACAACTAAGTTTGCTAAAATTATATTCATAAGTGAAAAATGCATGCTTATGAATCTGGTTGTGTTACTCTGTTTCTAAAATGTTTTTAAGATATTTTAATATTTATGTGTATGAGTGTATTACCTGCATGCATGTAAGTACACCTGTGTCATGCAAAACCTACAGAGGCCAGAAGAAGGCATCAGATCCCCTGGAACTGGAGTTAGGACAGTTATTAGCTGCCATGTGGTGCTAGGAATCAAACCTCAGTCTTCTGCAAGAGCAGCCAGTGCTCTTAACCATGGAGTCATCTCTCCAGCCACCCTTGTTTCTAAAATGTTAATAGTACATCATAGTAGTTATAAAGTTTAGATAAGAAGTTAAATGCAAATAAACTAACTTGACATATTATAGTTTAGTAGCTATTGACAAATTGCCTCCCCCAAAGTACCCATACTTTCAACAACATTTTAAAAATATATTTATTATTTATTTTATGTATGAGTATATGAGTGTATTGCCTGCATATAGGTAGATGCTCCTGTGTTGTGTAAGGCCCAAGGAGGTCAGAAGAAGGTGTCAGATGCCCTGGAACTAAAGTTATGGATGGTTGTTAGTGTGGGTGCTGGGAATCAAATCCATGTCTTCTGCAAGAGCAGCCTGTAGCCCGAGCTGGCCTAGAGCTCACTAAGTAGACCAGGCTGGCTTTGAACTCAGAGATACACCTCCCTCTGCCTCCCAAGTGCTGGGATTAAAGGGATGTGCTACCACACCTGATGTTCCTTCACATTTTAAAAAATTAAAACAATTTTTTAATTTTATGTGTATGAGTGTTTTGCCTGCATGCGTGTAAGTATACCACATGTGTGCAATGCCTATGAATGCCAGAAGAGGGCATCCGATTCCCTGGAACAAGAGTTAGTGATGCTTGGTAGCCTCCATGTGGGTACTGGGAACTGAACCCAGGTCTTCTGCAAGAACAGCAAGTACTCTAACTACTGAGCCATTTCTCCAGTGCCCTGTCCCCTGTCACCACTAGATTTTTTTAAAATTCCATTTTATTCATTTTTGTGTGTATGTACTCATGTGTATATGCAGGGAAGGTGAAGTGTGCCTGCAAAGGTCTGAGGACAATTTGTAGGAGTTCTCTCCTTCCACTGTGTGCATCCTAGGGTTTGAACTCAGGTGATCTGGCTTGGTAATGGGGTCTTTACCCACTGAACCATCTTGCTGGACCCCGTTTTCTAATTTGATAATTAAAATTGATTCTAAAAATCCTTTATATTTTGTTTTTTACTTTTATATGTGTGTCTGTTGCCTGCATGTATGTAAGTGCAGCCATGTCATGCAGTACCCATGGAGGTCAGAAGAGGGTGTTGAATTCCCTAGAACTGGAGTTAGGATGGTTGTTAGCTGCCATCTGGGTGCTGGGAACTGAACCTCAAGCAACCAGTGCTCTTAACCCTGAGGCATCTCTCCAGTCCCCTGAAAATCCTTTATAAATAGAAGTAGCCTCTTTGTTATCATGTCACAAATTTGTTTTTCCCAGTTTTGTCTTTTGACTTTGATTTTGCTATGTATAAATTCAAATATATTTTTAAGAAATTTTTATTTTATGTGTTTGAATGTTTTGTCTGCATATATGTACATGCACTTGTGTGTGCAATGCCCCTAGAGGCCAGAAGAGGCCATCAGATCCCCTAGAACTGGCGTTAATCTTAGTCACCATGTGGTGCTGGGAACCAAACCCAGGTCCTCTGTAAGAACAGCCAGTGCTCTTAACCATTGAGCTATCTCTGCAGCCCCAAAATATTTTAACTAGGGAAATTTGTGGGGTTTATGAGTTTTATGTTAGAAATATGGGGAAAAATTATCCATTAGTTGGAGCACCTCTCAGTTTTTTTCTTTTGTGATAGTCTTGCTGTTAGCCTAAGCTAGCCTCAAGTGCAGAGATTATAGGCAGGTACTACCCTGCCTGGCTTTTTTTTTTTTTTTTTTTTTTTGTTTTTTTAAATGCTCCCGCCGGCCGCCGCCAGCCACCAGCCGAGGGGTGGTCCCCCCCTGGCTTTCACTTGAGCCCCTGACCCATGGTAGTCACTGGCCAGAGGCAGTCGGCCCCTGACTCATGCACGCATTAGTTCAAGGCAGGTAGGGTGGGCAGCTTCTGCTGCCAACCCCGTGCACTCCACTCCACCCTGCCCTTCTAAAAAAGGCATCCATTGGTCCTGTTTTCATGGGTCCCGGGGGGTTCTGAAGCCTTTACACCTGGCTCTTACCTATTATTTTAACAATCTAAATTTTTTTTTTTTTTGTCTTTTTAAAATGTAATGGGCAGACGACACCAGGATTGATCTCCTTAGCACCTAAAACAAATAAGAAAATGAATTTTTCATATCTCGCATGGTGGTACATGCCTTTTATCCCCTCTGGGAAGTGGAAACGGGTATTCCAAAAGCTGGGATTATAGGCTTGCATATCTGGGCACAGTTGAAAGAAATTTTTTATTATACTAAGGTATATATTTCTTGGCTTATTGTGCCATTTTGTTTGGTCTCTGATCCATTGGTGTACTATTTTAATAATTATAATTAATACTTGGTATTGGCTCTCCTTGTTATTTAAGCATTTTCTAAAAGTTTTCTGTTTATTCTTCCAGATAAACTTTTTAATTAAGTTCCAAAAAGGTTATTTATATATTTTTTAACTGAAATTCTATTTAATTTTGTTTGGTTTAAATATCATCAACATCCTTATAGTTCTGGCCCTTCAGTATCAAGAGTAACTACTTATTCAGGCCTTTATAATGTTGTAGAATTTTAAACTTTATAGATAAACGTTTTAGTTTTTCCTTAAGTATTTAATCTGTTTTGCTGCTATTATAATTGGGATCTCTTATACTTTTTGGCTTTGCCCATAATGTACAAGAAAACTAGGAACATTGGTTTTTGGGTTGTTTGTTTGTTTGTTTGTTTGTTTGTTTGTTTGTTTGAGACAAGGTCTCACTTTGTAGTCCTGGCTGTCCTGAAACTCACTATGTAGACCGTAGAGATCTGCCTGCCTCTGCCTCCTTAGTGCTGGGATTAAAATTGTGTGCCACCATGCCTGGTGGAACTTTTTAATATATGCTTGTTTTGTATCAAAATCCAGTTTGGGAACTGGAGAGAAGGCTCTGCAGTTAAGAGCACTGGCTGCTCTTGCAGAAGACTCCAGCTCGAATCCCAGCAACACATGGTGTCTAACTATCTGTAACTTCACTTCCAGGGGATCCGGTGCCCTCTTCTGTCCTCCTCAGGCATTGCACAACATGGGTGCACATACATGCAGGCATAACACTCATACACATAAAAACAAAACAAAATATCCAGTTTGCTTGCTTCCGGGTTTACACATAATGACAGTAGTATTGTCGTGTTTGGTCATTCTGACCTTTACACTCAGAGCCAATTCCTTCCTTTCCTTAAACTAGTCTTCTTTCACTTCTTATCCTTTAGTCTTCCTGGATCTCCATCTTCTTTGGATAAATGATTTTTGAAACCTGTGGCAGGCATTGTGCTAGGCATAGGGGATATAATTTAATTCTTAATTATATAGTAGTCATACAGCTTTAACTCTTAATTGTATAGTGATCAATACAGCTCAGTTTTATCCAAGAGTCTTTCACTTGTAGCAGATTTTTTCACATTCTGTGGGACGTGCTGCCATGACAGGTACCCTCTTCTCCAAGAATGGTCACTATGTAGTAGTTACTATAGGAAGACTAAATCTTTTATTTCTCACATTACCAGTTTCTAAATGTAAAATTAGGTGGCGCTAATTATGTTAATAATGTGCTACCATGATCACTCTTGCCAAAACTTTCATTACCCCAAACAGAAATTCAACCAGATAAGCAAAACTCCCAGTATGCCTCTCTCTCCAGCCATTGGCAACCTTTAGAATAAAATCAGGACTTGCATTTGCTTATGGTATCTTGTAGGAATGACTTGTACAATATGGATAGAATCTAGACTAATGACTTACTTAATCTTACAGGGAGAAGCTGTGCTTTACAATGTAAGCAAACTCACTGAGCTATTTGGTCTTGAACTGGGCACCTGACTTTAATTCTCAGGAACTCACTTTGCCTTCCATCAAAGATAGTGATTGAATGTGGGGGTGTGTGGTTAGCATATTCAAGCACTCCATGCTGCCTATATTTCTCATTGAAAACTGAGAATAATTG